GTCATAGCTCTTGTCGTCATACTTCTTTTCATCGTCCTGCGGCTGTTGTGCTGCTTCTTATCGTGCCCTTTCTCATTCCACTTCATGCCATACCCTTTTTCGTCCTGCTTCTCGCCATTATGATAGTGCTTGTAGTAATAACCCTTCCTCTCATCCTTCTTGATACACTTGTACACTTGTCATCATCCTTCATCTTAATACTTACCATGCTTACCATCATACTTACCATCATACTTACCATCATACTTGCCATCGTACTTACCATCATATGAACCATAATAGTTACCATCATAGTAACCATCATAGTGACCATCATACTTACCATCATGCTTACCATCATACTTGCCATCGTACTTGCCACCATACTTGCCATCATACTTACCATCATAGTGACCATCATACTTACCATCATGCTTACCATGATACTTACCATAGTATGGACCATAATATCCACCATAATGTGGACCATAATACTTACCGTACCTCATGCCGTACTTACCATCATATGGACCATAATACTTGCCATCATAGTAACCGGCATGCTTACCATAATATGGAGCATAATACTTGCCATACCCCATGCTGTACTTTTTACCCTCGTAGTCATAGTCATAGTCATAGTCATCGTCATAGTCATAGTCGTAGTCGTAGTCATAGTCATAGTCTCCGTGACGCCTGCTAACAATGCCAGCCGCCTTTGATAAGGATTTGCTCTCACCTGTAGCGACCGCAAGGGACTGAATGACAAAACCAAGCAGAATTATTCCGAGACATCBTATGGCTGATCCCGCCAATCTGGCCTGGCCAGTGGCGTCCCTCCTGAGGACCGCCATGGAATCCGCCTCCTGATGGCTTTTCAACCTGGCTGAGTAGGAAACGTGCAGTAAGGAGAGGAGATCCACTCCTCAGCCTAGTTCTGTTTGCAACAGCTGCGGTTGATATCAGCTTATTGCAGCAAAGCCAATCCCTGGCGAACTCGAGGGGTCGCTGCTGTTTTGTGCAGCATTTCGGGTATATATACTCCCCCAAGCTCAGGCCATGCAAGACCGCCAGTTGAAGAAAGAGGGTCTTCAAAGTAGAAGCTTGTCTTGTTACATGTCTAATGTCTTCTTGACATTTGAAGCTCGGCCAACCTGGATTTCAGGCACAATGAAGGGTTGACTATACACAAATTTGAAATTCCAATGGTCTTAAGTTCTCTTAACCAGTTGCGAACAAACTGCTTGCATGATTTATCCATTTTTACCATTTAATTTTGCCCTTGCACAGGTGGCCTGGCGAAAAAAAATACTGGACCTATAGGGATATTTCAATTCACAGTGCAGCACATAAGGTCACAGGCCCTTATTACGTGTGGCCTGTTCCAAAGCCATTCACATTTGCTGTTGAAAGACTTCGAGCTTTTGGGGCCGAATCACAGTGCAGCACAAAACTGTCTGCTTCAAAATATTAAGAAATTTTGGTGACACAGATGGGCAAAGTGCCCATATAAGCTGTGGTGTTCTCAAGACACTTTGCCTATGCTGCCATAGACACGAGTGCAAACACATACATCCAAGCGCACGCGCACACAGACACACACTTTTTTTTTTTTTTTAACTCTCCCAGCCCCTTCTATTCTGCGGGGCGTCAGTCCGGTTGCTCATCACCGGCAAGCAAAGTTTTTGAAACGAGCAGCAGGGAAGATTAGATAGAATAGAGAGTCAGCCCACCACTGTGATTCGAGCCGCCTGCTCAAGGGGGGCTGGCTTCAGCGCCACCTGCTCCCATCCTTCGGCCAATCCTTGGGGTTTGTCCTGCAAGTCGGGAGGCT